AACATTTTTTTAAAAAAAATCTGCACAGCCAATGAGAAGCTTTTGCTGGGCAAAAGTCCTCCTTGGCCCCACCCACTTCCTGAAAACACTTGATGGACACCAGAAAGGTGTTTCCAAAACAGCATGGTGGGAACAGCAACAAAACGGCTGCTGCTTTTTACCTTCAGTCGCACAGTGCTGATCCGTGTGCTGTGGGGGCAGCCGCTGCCAAAGCAGTGTTTTTAAAAATCTGCACAGCCGATCAATTCTCCAGTGGCCAATCACACCCATTTTCTAAAAAAACACTTCACAGGTGCCGAGAAAGGTGTCAGTGGTTGCCCTGGCATCCGTGGAGGCCACGTTGGGGACCCCTGGTCTAATACCACGGACACAACAGCTTCATGCCCTCCACATCTATTAGACACAAACCTATCATATAGATAGAAGATCGACCAACTTTCATTCTCGTCGTTCACAAAGACTGCTCTGTCCGTTCGCCAGCCCCATTCATGAATTATGAGGGTGTGTAAGGAGGTTTCCACAGTTCTGTTGGCTGTCTGTAGAATCAGAGGATAGACAGAAACTATATCGTTGCTCGCAACCAACGCTCCCTCTGAACTGCGAAGTCTCGTGAGCAAAAAAATTCCACTTTGCGAGCCACTGGCATTGAAGTTGTGAGCGAGCGATTTGGCTACTGCATAAATTGGTTTGCCCTGGAGCCTTCCTTCCTGAACTAAGACAAAAAATGTGTGAGCCAGAGGCTAAAAAAACTTTGAGCTAGTTCACACTAACTCTGCTTCGAGGGAACACTGCTCGCAACCTCTGGAAACAAATGGCTTTTTCTCAAGAAAAACGAAGAGCGGATGACATTGCCTTGATAGAGGAGGCTTGCAATAGATAAGCCTTGTTACTAGTCAAGCCGTGGGGTGTTCCCGCTGCTGTGTTAGATGCAAAAGGTCCTCTTTTAGTTTACTTTTTAAAAAACATGTGGGAGCACTCAAATTTGTGCCACACACCCCCTCTGAAATGCACAGACCAGCAAGAGCGACACCCCACAAGCTTTTGGGAGTGCAGTTCCAGCTCTTGAAAGGAGCTTTGTGTTGGAGAGAGACGTGCAGAAAGCAAATGCCGGCATGCCGCAGGGTTCCACTTCCCCTCCGGCTTCTGTGAGGTCAACCGGGAAGACATTTGCACTTCACTCCTTGTCAATCCCATAGGCTTTGAAGGACCATGGCAGATCTCCCCATGGGTGAGACAGGCCAGTCCTTGCTTGGGGAGAACAGAACGTATGAGGCGCTTGCATTCCAGTGTTTTCAGTAAAACTACTTCGGTGTTTCCCCTTTGGCCTCGGCCTTGGGAGCATGCACCGTTTGGTCCTAGAGACACATTTGATCAACTGCTGGTTTGTATACAAAAAATAGCTCTAATTACATGTATTTAGTAGGGATGTGCATTTTGTTCGTCCAAACCGAATGAACCCCCGAAAATGGCACATTCGGACCCCTTTCGGGCTGCTGCAGGCCACTTCAGATCCTCTGATTTGAATCGGCTTGCCGCCGAATTTATTCGGCCCCATTATATCCTATGGGCCATTGAAGTAAATGGTGAAAATATAGGGTATATTCTGGGGGCTGGAGGGGAGGGGGTTTGAGGGAGAAACTTCAAACTTATAGGGTAGCTGCTGGAGCATCTCCCCAAGATACCAACCGAGTTTGAAGAACATTGGACCAGGGGGTCCAATTCTACGGCCCCCCAAACAGGTTGTCCCTATCCCCTCCATTGTTCTCTATGGTGGGAAAAAGTAACTTGTAAAAAAAGTAACTACCCTGCGAGTTTGGAGTCCCTCCCTCAAGCTCCCTCCCCTCCAGCCCCCAGAATATATCCTATGTTTTCTCCATTGACTTCAATGGCCCATAGGATATAATGGGGATGAAATTGACAGCTCCTACTGACGAAACTGACATGCGGGAGTCTTACTGCCAGCTGAAATTGATTCTGCCCGATTCGGCTGAATACAAATGGGCCGAATTTTTTTTTCTTTTTGCACACTCCTAGTATTTAGGTACAGGTACAAAAAAAAAAGCTCTTGAGCTGATACTTGAATCTTTATTCTTAAGTTATAAGACAGACAAAATTTGCCCATATCAATGAAGGGTAACAATCACAATATTACTGTCAATAGCCAAAACGACTGTAGCCCATTGCTGAAAAAGTTCGATCGCTCCTCCGCTCTCTTTGTGGCATAGGAAATTACGGGAACATTACGTAATGGCAAAGATAACTGAAGAGTTGAATTTTAAATCTCTAGAGAAGTATAAATCAGATTTTGAGTCTTATCTGGTACCCTATATTGAACTATCTAGAGCAACATGGTGATTTTTTTTTAAATGCTGGATCTATATAGATTAGTTTCAATTTTTATTTTTAAAGTATAATAGAAATAATATAAGCATATGAAAATAGATAATACTTCTTGATAGTTTCTTTTAATCTGTTGTACATAATTTTAACTGTTTGTAATTATTTGTGCAATATTTTTTTTTAAAAAAAACCCCTGCTGGTTTGTAGACTTTCCAGTCGTACGCCTTCCACTCTTTTTTCTTAGTTTCCCCAATTGACTAAAGTTTTGGGTTACCAACCTCCAGGTGGGGCCTGGAGATCTCCTGGAATACAACTCATCTCCAGGACGCAGAGATCAGTTTCCCCTGGAGGAAATGGCAGGGTTGTGAGGGTGGTTTTTTTTTGGGGGGGGGGGTGGATTCTGTGGCATGATGCGGTCCCTTCCCACCCCCAATCTCACACTCCCTTTTCTCCACCCCCAAGTCTCCAGCTGACGACACTGCTAAAGGTGACCGTCTGCACTCAGCACCATTTGATCTGTGTTGTTAGACATCTGACAGAAGATGTTTATAAAAGGCCTGGAGTTGCTAAGTCCCACCCTGGTAGGGTTGCCAGATCCAGGTTGAGAAATTCTTGGAGATTTGGGGGTGGAGCCTGGGGAGGACAGGGACCTCAGTGGGTCTAATGTCACAGAGTCCACCCTCCAAACCATCCATTTTCTCTAGGGGAATGGATCTATGTAGCTTGCATATAATGGTGTATAATGGTGGCATTTAACAATGTGACACAGGATCAAATTTGGGTCTTTCAGAAAACACATCAAACATGGCTTTGCGCAGTCCTTCGCGAAGTCACTCCAACCCAAGCCCGTTCATTCAGTGGGCTCAGCTAGAGGATCGACTGTGCACAGGATTGCACTCTTAGAAGTCCACCATTCTTCAAGGGGATGTTTTCACACCACGGCGAAGGCCTCCCAGGCCCAAATGCACGTGTTCTGATCCTGTTGGCGCTGTGATGTTTACAAGTCCATGGGAGTCTGGCTGCATGCTCAGCACATTGGTCATCTCATTTCCTTTGCTGCCTTTAATTAGATTACTGGCGTTTTTAATGTGCAGAAATCTTGCCTGTTCAGCAGTGTTGCCTGACCTCTGCAGCTATGCTAACTGATATGATGCCTGGCACTCTGTACCGGTAAAGTCGAGGGATTTTGTTTGTTTGTTTCTGTTTCTTTGAGCATCCCCCCCCCCCCAAGTAATTTTGGAGCCTGGTATCTTTCCTGCTGGTTATGCTGATGGATTTGAGCATTTGGTCTGAATATTAGCTTATGCTACTTAACCTGGGTGGGTGGGTGGAAGGGTGGCCTGTAATGTCTCCAATCAGTCACAAAATAGGCTTTCTTCAGTGGATTATGGGCTCAATATCTTGTACCTCTGCCACGATACCAGTTTGTATAGCCAGTGCTACTGGGTTGCATTACTCTGTGAGTAAAAATAAAAAATGGAATGGCTGCCTGAGCGTCTGGAGGGGAAATGGATGCAACAGTTGCATGCGGACATTAACCCTTACAGCACTGCTTCTAATCCTGCCAGTTTCAAGGCTCACGTGCCCGGGCGTCTTGCCAAATACGAACCTCGTGTTTGGTAAGCAAGAGAACCATACCAAACCACCCCTCCCACAGTTGCTGATGTAGAAGGCCCTCAAAAGCAAGGACTTCTTAACCAGAAAGGGGAGAAAAAGAATAAAAGGGCACTAATTTGGTAACTTTGCAATTATTTGTTATTTTGCATTATTTGTTAAAAAACAAAACAAAACAAAACACTTTTTTTTTGGTTCAAATTCTATAAAGAACAGTATCTTGAGATCAAGTTGCACGTGTGAGACCTTGGGCTGCCAGTTGAGAATGGGGGGGATGGGACCCCCTGGCAGGCTTCCACTTGAGTTGGTTGCCAACCTTTAGGTGGGGCCTGGAGTTCTCCTGGAATTACAGCTGAGCTCCAGATGTTTGAGATGAGTTCCTCTGGAGAAAACAGGCGCTTTGGAGGGTGGGCTCTGTGGCATTATATCCCATTGGGGTTGCATCTCTCCACACACCCCACCCTTTCTAGGCTCCCCCCCAAAAAAATCTCCGGGTGTTTCTCAACCCAGGATTGGCAATCCTAGGGCCGGGGCAAGTAGCCAGTGAAGCTTTCTCCACCCGGTTTCATCAAGCAGCAGCGGAACAGGGCCGGTAGCTGCTCGGAAAATCTGGCATCCCTCAGTGGAACATGCTGCAAAATGGCCCTGGATTCCTGAAGCCAGTTCTGTAAGGGTTAACAGTGTGTGTGTGGGGGGGTGGGGTTCAGGAGCCCTGGGAGTTTCTCCTGCTTGGCCTCCCCCAGAGGTGCCTGCATGGTTCCTTCCCAGCTGTTAACTGAAGAGACGAAAAGTACAGAATGGGCCGACCACCCAAGTCCCTTCCAATAAATGCCTGCCTGGTTTTGACCGGGGTGTGTGTGTGTGCACACACACACACACACTGGCAACATCTGCCGCTCTTGCATTCAGTCCAGGGTCTAATCAAAATTGAAACGGGCAGCGGAGGGTGGGTTTTTGTGTGTGTGTATGTGTGTGTTGTGTACTGTATTTTCATATGCAGATTGGTTCCCTCCCATTTACGTCCGTCTTTTCTTCTCTCTTAATAGCCCAATAGAATCTTGCCAGAATTTCTATAAAGATTTCACGTTACAGATCGACATGGCTTTCAACGTGTTCTTCCTACTCTACTTTGGCTTGCGGGTAAGTGCCGACTCGCCTCAGGCCGACCTTGCTCGTGAAGGGGCAGAGGGGGGAGGGAGGGCCGTTACCAGCTGTGGGCTGGGGGAAACCTGGAGGTTTGGGAGGGCGGAGCCTGGGGAGGGTGGGGTTTGGGGGAAGGGGTGCCACGGACCCCACCCTCCAAAGCAGCCATTTTCTCCAGGGGAGCCGACCTTGGTCGTCCGGAAATTCGTTATAATAGCAGGAGATCTCCAGGTGCCTCCTGGAGGTTGACAACGCTATGAAAGAGCCAGTTCCAGTGGCGACTTACCCATCCCTTCATTCAAAACACCTGCATCCTGCTCCCTTCAGCAAAGCAGCGAGGGTTTCCGACCTCCAGGTGGAACCTGAAGACCTCCCGGGATGTCCAGGCTGCAGAGATCAGTTCCCCCGGAGGAAAGGGCCGCTTTGGAGGGTGAACGCGACGGCATTGTGCCCCACTGATTTTCCTCCCCGCCCCAACCATGCCCTCCCCAGGCGCCACCCCCAAACCCTCTGCTTTAGACCCAGCCCCCTTCTCCTTCCCTAGCCTCCAGAGATACGTCACCTTCCAAGACCCAAGCATGCGCATCACAGCATCCTAGGCATGCTTCCAGTCTGTCTACCTGGTACATGTTCTATACTATCCTTCCTACACAGAGCTTAGGGCTGTTGCACAGGATTCTTCCTTCTCCAGGTTGTCCCCACAGCGACCCTGTGAGGTAGGGTTAGCCTGAAAGAGTCACTGGTCGAAGCTCATTGAGCAAGGTTTGTGGATGATCAGGGGTTTGAGCTCACATCTCCAAGGTCCAATGTGTGAACAGCACACACTGGCTGTCTCTGGCCTCTTCATCCCTAGACGCATGGGGCCGTCTTGCCACTGAGGCCCAACCTGCATCTAGTATTTGCTCCGTTGTTGTACCAAACCCACGCTGGAACAGAAAAAGATGCGGCTCAAAACCACATTCAGATACCCCGGGGGGCTAACACCATACTGACTGCAGAGTCACCCCCGAATGGCCATAAAATGGCCATAAATCTCTGCAGACAGCCACCGTAAAATCAGAGATCAAATGAAGTGAAAGCAGCATGCAGTCTGGACACTGCCATAAAGTCCGACAATCAATCAAAGTGGAAGTGGCATGCAATGTAGCTGGAGATGGGAATTTCTGTTCCAATGTGGGTTTGGTAAGACAGCGGAGCAAATGCTAGATGCAGATTCGACTTGAGACCAGTGTTCCCTCTAAGCTGAGTCAGTGTGAGCTAGCTCACAGTCTTTTAGCCTCTGGCTCACACATTTTTGTCTTCGCTCAGGAAGGAGGGCTCCAGAGCAAACTAATTTATGCAGTAGCCAAATCACCTGCTCACAACTTTAATGCCAGGAGCTCACAAAGTAGAATTTTTGCTCACAGGACTCCATAGCTTAGAGGGAACATTGCCTGAGACTCCAGAAGCCCGATTCATCTGGCAGGGTCATCCAAGACCATTCCACCGCCGGATCCTTTCTTTTTACTAACATATGCCGCAGTTGATCAACCGGGTGCATATCTGTGGTACCGACAGTTGCATGCCAGGGTTTGCCCCAAAGAGTTTTGCAAAATAGCTGAGAGTTCTGTGATCAGACGGCACAGAATTACAGTTCCCTATGGTGGGGAAATTCGCCAGCTAGATTTATTTCTTTACAGAAGTTATATTATTATTATTATTATTATTATTATTACATTCCATTTGTATACCGCTCACCCCCAGAGGGCTCTGAACCGCTCACCCCCTGAGGGCTCTGAGCAGTTCACATTACATTATACAACACATGCCAATCCTAACCTAGGGCCACATACAAGGGGGAGAGTATTCCACCTTTCTGGCCCGTCGGCATCACCAAGGTGGCTGACAATTAAATGCAGTTCAGGTGGGTCACCGTGGTGGTCTGAAGCAGCAGAGCAAAGTTGGGAGTCCAGTGGCACCAAGTCCAACAAAGTTTAATTCTCGGGAGAAGCTTCCGTGTGCATGCCACTGGACTCCAACTCTGTGCAGTTAAAAGCAGAGCGTCATAAAGCCAATTTAAAACCACAATGTGTGTGTGGTAAGTTCCGTCAAGTTGCTTCGGACGTGGAGATTCTATGGATCAATGACTTTGAAAGTGGCCTATCGTGAACATCCTTGGTTGGGACTTGCAAACGGAGGGGCCTTTGTGGCTTCCTTGACTGAGTCCATCCGTCCTGTGCTGGGTCCAGTGTTCCCTCTAAGCTGAGTCAGTGTGAGCTGGCTCACAGTGTTTTAGCCTCCAGCTCACACATTTTTGCCTTAGTTCAGGAAGGAGGGCTCCGGAGCAAACTGATTCATGCAGCAGCCAAATCGCTCGCTCACAACTTTGATGCCGGTCGCTCAAAAAGTAGAATTTTTGCTCACAAGACTCCACAGCTCAGAGGGGGCATTGGTGGGGTCTTCCTCTTGTCTTGCTGCCGTCTGCTTCTCCTAACACTGGTCCCTGCCAAATTTGGGGGGGGGGGGGAAGCACGGGCAAAATGCAGCTTTTGAAAGCCGCACCAAAATAGACACGCGGCGGCGGGATCATACAGATCCCGTGAGCCGCCGCGCAGTTGCTCCCCGGCACGATCAGATTCCAGGGAGACTGGGGAGAAAGCAACGAGACAGAGACAGAAGATGCCGAACTGCGCATGTGTGAGCATGCACAGTTCGGCCAGGGGTCTTGGATGCGCCGGCAGAAGGACGTGCCGGCGATCCCACGGCCGCGCTTGATGCGGCTTTGCTGGTAAGTCCACCTCTGTAGGTGGTTTATTTTAGATGCAGCTTTTCAGCCTGAAGGGCCGGATCGAGGACGGGTGTGCAATGTTTCCCAGATGTTGCGGTGGGATCGCGCCCGTTTGCTGCGCCCTTGATCCGTCCCTCTCCCGGCCCAAAACCTTTTGTGTGACTGGGGCCACTATTGTCTTTTCCAGTGACTCTTGTCTTCTCATAACGTGCCACAAAGTACGATAACCTCAGTTTAGTCATTTCAGCTTCTAGGGGGGGGGATTTAGGCTCTATTTGATCTAGAACCCACTTATGGCGGTCCACTGTATCTGTACACAACTCTCCTCCAACACCACATTTTAAATGAATTAACTTTCTTCCCCTCAGCTTTCTTCATGGCCAAACTTCCACACCCATACATAGGAACAGGGGGGGACCACGGCATGAATTAACTTGGTCTTGGTCACCAGCGACTCATCCCTGCACTTAAGGATCTTCTCTAGTTCCTTCACAACCACCCTTCCCAGTCTTGTGAAAACACAGAAACAGCAATTAAAACAGAGGGCAGGAAGGGCGTGCCAAACAAAGCCAAAAAAAGTCTTTCTTACCTGCTGGCTGGCAGAATATAGTGCTATCAAGGGATAGACAACTATCCCTGTTTAGGGAGTTCCATAATTATGGTCCCTTGGGGGAATCAGACCATCTCTTGGGTTGCCTCCCAGCTAAACTCATCAGGTTCCCAAAAGATGACTAGTGGTTCGGTAGGTCCGTCTGAGAATAGATGTCCTTTAAGGTATGCTGGCCCCAAACCACATAGTCTATGGTGATATGCACTAGAGGAAGTGGAACGGTATTCTGGTAAAGCCTGAGCTCCTCAGATCTTGGAAGCTCATCAGGCTTTGAAGGGATTTGGAAGGGAGACCACCAAGGAAGACGCTGCAGAGGCAGGTAACGGCAGACCACCTCTGCTTCTCACCCTGCCTTGGATGTCCCTTGCTGAGGTCGCCATGAGTCAGTCGCAACCTGATGGCACTTTACACATAGACACGCAGAAACACAATGTGCCCTACAAGTCCTTTCCTCCCTTTGTGGTTGGGCGATTCTGCCTCTAGCATTTGCTCCACATTTCCTCAACACTGAGGAAAAGGTGCAGCTCAAAACCACATTCAAATACCCCGGGGCAACGCCGTACTGCCTGCGAAGTCACCCCTGAACGGCCATCAGTCTATGCAGAAGGTGCCATAAAACCCAATGGTCAAAGGAAGTGACAGCGGGATGCAATGCAGAAAGAAATTTCTGTTCAAAGGTGGGTTTCGTAAAACAACGAAAGGAAAAGCCAATGCAGAACCGCTAAAAAAAACCGCTCTTGGTTTGTAGTCCATCCTCGAGAAGGTACTTCACCGTTCTCCTGTTCTATGAACGCTGCAGTAGAATCTGCGGCTGTGGCGTGAGGTGGACCTGTATGTTTGCTAAAGAAGACCGCTGTCCACAATACAAGTCTCACCGTCCTTTTCATGTCTTCCCTCTCCCTTTTCTCCCCCCCCCTTCCCCAGTTCATCGCAGCCAACGACAAGCTTTGGTTCTGGCTGGAAGTAAACTCAGTGGTAGACTTCTTCACAGTCCCTCCAGTGTTCGTTTCAGTGTATCTAAACAGAAGTTGGCTGGGTAAGTAAGTGGCACGTCACCTCTTTGTTCGTTTTTCATACTTGGTGTCAAGGGTGTACAGCGAGTCGGAAGCCGCCCTTGCCTGGGGCAGCCGCCGACCGAGAGATGGCGCTGCAGGCGTGTGGGGCCTGCAAGCAACCAGAGAGCGGCTGTGTGTTTTTCTTCCCCTGCCTGATTCCCTCCGTGGGCCTCGCGAGACGGAGGATGTCCGTGTTGGCCAGGCCAGCAAACTCCGCCCCTGGTGGGAGGCGAGCGTAGCGGGAGGGCTGTGTGATCCACCCTTCCCTACTCATTGACCACTTTGGCCATCGGCTCGTCCCGTAGGGCTGGCAGCTCCGGGTTGGGAGATTTCAGGGTGGAGCCTGGGGGGAGGGACCTCATGACGGCATACGATGATGTACGGCAGGCAAGATGACAGCCAAGACAAAGGTAGTCGATTAGATCATCTTGATCTGAGGTGACAGAGTGTCATGTGACAGTTAGAGTGTCATGTGACATCATCCTGACTATTGTCACCTTGAGTCAGCACTTCATTCTGATTGGTGCTCAGATGTATATATTGAGTACAGTCTGTATGTGCTTCATCACTCTTGTGGATTGGATTCTATGCGAAGCACTTTGTCGGTAAGCCTGGTGAACTGGATACTGCAAGTGCTAAAGGACTGTATGTATATAGTTGCTGTCGATAAACCACTGTAAATAGTTCAGGACTAGCCAACTCTGGATTGTGTTGTTATTGGCGCTTCCAATACGCTGACACCTCAGTGGGGTACAACGCCGGAGAGTCCACCTTCCCAAAACAGCTGGTGTTTTTTCCAGGGGAAGGGATCTCTGTCTCCTGGAGATCAGTTGCAATTCTGGCAGGTCTCCCACTGTTCAGTAGGTGCCAAGGTATATGCCAATGATCAGTTGCAGAAGAAGAGATTGGATTTATGCCCTGCCCTTCACTACCCACAGGAGTCTCAGAGCAGCCTATAAACTCCTTTCCCTTCCCCTCCCTACAGCAGACACCCTATGAGGTCGGTGGGGCTGAGAGAGCTCTGACAGAAACTGCTCTTTTTCAAGAACAGCTCTTATCAGAACTACGGCTTGCCCAAGGTCATCCAGCCAGATGCAAGTGGAGGAGTGGGGAATCAAACCCGGTTCTCCCAGATTAGAGTCCGCGCACTTAACCACTAAGAAGAAGAAGAGGAGATTGGATTTATACCCCGCCCTTCACTACCCAAAAGTGTCTCAGAGCAGCTCACAAACTCCTTTCCCTTCCCCTCCCCACAACAGACACCCTGCAAGGTAGGCGGGGCTGAGAGAGCTCTTGACAGAAACTGCTCTTTTTCAAGGACAGCTCTTATCAGAACTACGGCTTGCCCAAGGTCATCCAGCCAGGTTCAAGTGGAGGAGTGGGGGAATCAAACCCGGTTCTCCCAGCTTAGAGTCCGCACACTTAACCACGACACCAAACTTGACACAAGAATTCATTTGACTGGCTGGTGTTTGCAATTGGTGGCGCTTCCTCAGTTGTTTCCCGTCGAGGAACTAGCTGAGCTAGTTCAGTGGAACAGGCTTCCTCGGGAGGCGGCGGGCTCTCTTTCTTTGGAGGTTTTCAAACAGAGGCTAGAGGGCCACCTGACAGCAATGTGGGGTCTGTGAACTTGGGAGATCATGAGAAGGGAGGGCAGGGAGGGTTGCCTCAGTGCTTAGTTCTCGTGGCCCTTTCTTACACACCCAGGGAAATGCTGATCACCACTTTGGGGGTCAGGAAGCCATTTTCCTCCAGGCCCGATTGGCTCAGGGATCCTGGAGGTTTTTTTGGTCATCTCTTGGGCATGGATCACTGCGGGTGGGGGGCAGGTAGCGCGGGCTGTAAATGCAGCCTGCTTTAACATCTGGCCGAACATCTGTTTGAGCCCCACCGTGGCCGGAGTGAGCTCCCGGCCTACGTCCCAGCTCCCGCCCACCCAGCGGTTCAAAAGCCCGTTAAAGGGCGAGTAGATAAATGGGGACCTACCCTTAGTAGGGTAGGGGGCACCCCCTCGCCCTGAGGAGTGTGGTGTGCGGCGGTGGCGAAGGAACAGCGATGATGGCGGCGACGGTGGAATCCTGGAAGCAGAGACGAGGTGGTGTGGTGCAACGACGAAGCCAGTAGAGTGACCCCTGGTGGCCTGCGGAGATACAGCAGACAGCGGCCGTTGCTAGCAGCAGAAGGCGCGGAAGACGTCATCTCCCGGCGCGGCGGAGACTACTGGACAGAGCCGAGGCTGGGAGAGACGAATCAACACGCCGAGAAAGCTGCCTCGCCGGAGAAGCGCCACGAGAGAGATGTCCTGCTGACCGAAGGAAGACAGCTGAGAGCCGAGGAAGCCGGAGGCCAGAAGGGAGAGCCGCCACCACCGGGGTGCTAGGTAGGCTGACCCAACCCCTGAGAATGTGCCCATAGCACTACAATCTGTAAACCGCCCAGAGACCCCCATGGGGGGGTTAGGGCGGTATATAAATCGAATGATAAATAAATAAATAAATAAATAAATATTTGTGAATTTCCTGCATGGTGCAGGGGGTTGGACTAGATGACCCTGGTGGTCCCTTCCAGCTCTATGATTCTATGAGCTTGTGAGTTTCAGAGATGGAACTACGCCACTTGTTTTCAGTGCTCTTGACATTAATATGCTATAGAAATCCATTATGTATTTTAACAGGGGTCATTTTGTAGAAAAAAAGGTGCAGGAGCTCATTAGCATAACTCATTAGCATAACTTATTTTCATGTGCCACACCCCCTGACATCACCAGAAGTGTGTCAGAAGGCAACTCCCACTGCTCAGGCTCCACTGGACTGTTTTGGATTGCTAGCTATTGGGGGGGGGGGTGTGCAGATCTGTCCTCGCAGAGGAGGGAGAGCTTGTACCTGAATAAAACCTGGTCTTAAAGGTGCCACTGGACTGTTGTGGATTGCTAGCTGGGGGAGGGGAACGCACAGATCTGCCCTCACAGAGGAGGGAGAGCTTGTACCTGAGGGTGGGCCGGGGGGGGCGGCTCTGTAACTTACCTGGCTGCTTCTTGTCCCTCATGGCCCGACTGAGGGCTGCTGGGAGCAGGGGGCAGGGCTTGTTGCATGTGCCCGCCCCCTAAGCTCCGTACTGCCGGAGCTCTGCTCCTGTGCGCTCCTGCAGGAAATGACCCCTGTGTATTTATACTGCAGATTAACATTTGTTTTATCAAGGTATATTTTTTAACTGGATGGCACTGGCTAACCCAATCTTGCCAGCTCTCAGAAGCTAAGCAGGGTCGGCCACGTTCAGATGGGAGACCGCCAAGGAAGTCCAGGGTCTCTAGGCAGAGGCAAGCAATGGCCAGCCACCTCTGATCATCAGTCGGCTGTGACTTGACTGCACGTTCCACCACCACACTTGTGTGTTTGACTGGTTCTTGCTTAGCCGCCACCTTGAACCCCGCCCCTTTGCTCTGCAAAGTAGGAAGCCCGGGGAGCGTAATGCAGAAACAAGACTTCGTACTTGCTGGGAGGAGACCACCAGTGTTCCCTCTAAACTGAGTTGGTGTGAGCTAGCTCACAGTTTTTTAGCCTCCAGCGCACAGGTTTTTGTCTTCGCTCAGGAAGGAGGGCTCCAGAGCAGACTAATTGATGCCATAGCCAAATCGCTCGCTCACAACTTTAATGCCAGTAGCTCACAAAGTAGAATTTTTGCTTACAAGACTCCACAGCTTAGAAGGAACATTGGAGACCACCTGCTCTTTCTCGCCTTCTTTCATCTCTTGCAAAGCTTTCTCACTGTATCTCATTGTATCTTGGTCTTCACTTTGGGTGGAATTGGCCCCCTTGTTTGTGTGACCCTGCTGGGGTGCCTCTCAGAGCAGCCTGGCATTCGCCACAAGAAAACCCCCCCCCCCATCACATTATCTCGGCCTCACCTACTAAATTTCTTTGTGGTGGGTCAGAATAAAGACGGCAGTCCTGCCTACTGCAGACAATGTTTTCAGGGGGGGGGGGAAAGAGGGACTCAAACGCTGACAGTGATCTATGAGTGGAATTATAAGCTTCGTAACTTTAATTTTGCCTTTGGTGGTGTGATTCCGTAGCCATGGATGCTAGAAGCTGCCAAAGAGTTTCCCATTTGTTCTTCCTTTCCAGTTTAAATGAGGTTCAAACAACGGTCTGCCCCTGCCATCTAGTGGTCAGTCTGAGACATGACTTCCTCTTAAGAAACCAAGACGTCTCATTGATCTCCGGAGCATAAAGCGATGCTTGTTAGGTTCCAAAAAGTGCTGAGTAATGTTTTGGTGCTGACACCATGAATCACGTGAAACAAAAGAAATAACAGTCCCCTTGCTGTGTTGCCAGTCAACTGCAATGTCCTTCTGCAAAAGATTTCTGCAATGTATGGGGCTCGTCATAGGGTTTTTATCAGGCCTACAATATAGGGTTGCAGGCCTCTGTGTTGGGAAATACCTTGAGATTTTGGGGGTGAACCTGAGGAGGGGGGAGTTTGAGTAGGGGAGGGACTTCTGTGGGGTATAATTCCAGAGAGTCCACCCTCCAAAGAGGGCCAATTTATCCAGGGGAGCTGATCTCTGTCAGCTGGAGATCAGTTGTAAAAGCGGGGGATCTCCAGGCCCCACCTGGAGGCTGGCAACCCTATCTCTGTAGCCTCGAGACAAGCTGTAATTCCAGAGGAACCCTAGGCTGCACCTGGACGCTGGCATCCCTAAGATCAGTCGTTAGCCCAGGAGGTCTCCAGTCACCCACCTGGTGCTTGGCAACCGTATCTAAAAAAAGACATAAAGCGTTCTGTCCGGAGCTTGAGAAGACTCCCATTTTGTGCTGCCTGCCACAGCATGCAAAACTGGTGATGTGAGAAGAAGAAGAGGAGGAGGAGGAGGAGATTGGATTTCTACCCTGCCCTTCACTCGGAGTCTCAAAGCAGCTTACAATCTCTTTTGCCTTCCCCTCCCCACAACAGACACCGTGTGAGGCAGGTGGGGCTGAGA